CTTGGGAGGGTGGGGGTGGGGGTGGGTGGGGGCCTGAGCAGTGGCATCTACGGACCAGAATCATTTTCACCAAACCATTGGCTGTCCCCGGCAGACAGGATGGCAGAGGTCCAGAAAGGTTGCTGGACTGGGTGGGTTTCATCCTAGAACCCAAAGGAGGCCTAGTGGCCCAATGGTCAAGCGCTCAACTGTCCAGCGAAAATCACTAGCAGCTCCATAGGCGAGAGAGCCGGCGATCTGCTCCCATGACAGTGACAGCCGAGAAACCCCTCTGGGGTAGTCCTGCTCTGTCACGGGGAGGGCGGGGGCTTGACAAGAGTCGAACTTTACGGGGAGGCACCAACAACCACAAGCCCAACACCCAGTGGTTTTATCAGTTTGTTCCCCTCCCCCAAGCAACTCTAGCCCCCTCTACTCAACAGCGATGTCTTCAACTTGCGGGTCACAAATGACCAGCAGGTTGCAAGTCTATTTGGTGATCTGTGGCCCAGCTTGAAAGACACAAACGTCGGCGTAGGATGGAACAGAATGGAAGGTCTCTGGGGCACCACCTGTGTGTCTTAGAAAACAGCAGTGTGCAGTGTGTAGGCTATGATGGAAATGGCTGTCTGTGGGGCGGAGCTGAGCTCATTTGAAGGCCAGGGCTCCAGCGCTCTTCCTCAAGGGGTGTGTCCTTCTGAACTCCCTGTGACTGGAGTTGCACGTGGGTGTCCTGTGGGTCCCTTCTAAGGACTCCAGAGTCCGGAGTCAGCCCAGGGTTTGCATTCTGGTTGAGTTTCCTACAGGCGACATAGTTAGGAGGCAATGGCTTGGCTTTCTTAAGATTTGGATTCCCCACCTGTGGGAACAGGAAGGGTGATGCCACCTCCAACAGGCCCCGCACGAGTGACCGCTCAGGAACACAAACACAAACAGCGAACTCACTGCCATCGAGTCAATGCTGACTCAGAGTGACCCCTGCTGGGTTTCGGAGACTGTAACTGCTTACAGGAGTACAAAACCCAGTCTGACTTCTGCAGAGTTGCTGGTGGTTTTGAACAGCCGACCACGCAGGTAGCAGCCCAATGTGTAACCACTACACCTCCTGGGCTCCCAGTGGATTCAATAAGTGAGGGGGCTTCAAAAAGGGCATGGTGCATTCCATTGTCTTTTCATTCTGTTTTTCCACCAACAGTTTGAAGCCTCCTCCAGAATAAGACTCCTGTCTTCCATCTAGAGATGCTTCTTGTTTACCAGTGACATTCTGCCTGCTTTGAAATTTGGAGAGCTGGCTTATGTTGAAAGAGACACGGTCGTCAATAAAAACAGAATGGTAAAAAACACATAGAGATAGGAGGGAAAAAAACAAAAAACGAAACCCAAAACCAAACAACCCCGATATGTCGTCTAGTATTTACTACATGTGCGGATCAGACTTCATTTATGAGTTTGCAGACAGCAAAGCCCCAAAAAGGAAAAGGGGGTTGTGTGGCACGCCACTGCCACAGAGTGGATCCTTTTAACTCACAGCGATCCCATCCTGTAGTAGGACAGAGTAGAACTGTCCCACTGGGGTTCTGAGACTTAACCTTCACCTTCTTTACAGACTGCCTCCTCTTTCTCTCTTGGAGCGACTGGTAGGTTTGAACCACCTACCTTGCAGTTAGCAGTCCAAGAGCAACACCAGGGCTCTTTATGAGCAATTTAAAAGCCCACCACCATTGAGTGGATTCCAACTCATCATGATCTGATAGGGCAGGGTAGCATTTCAGCCCCTGTAATTCTTTACAGTCTGGGGTTTCAGAGACTGGATCCAACCTGCCCTCCACCCACCCTCCAGGCTTACCTGTCACAGAGAGGCGGGCCCCGTTGCTCTTTCTCCCTCGGAGCGGCTGGTGGATTTGAGCCACCGACTTTGAGGTTAGTACCCCAACACAACCCAGGATGCCACCAGGGCTCCTTTTGAGTGCCACAGTCCTCACGATGAGCTATGTGTCTGACACATCACGTGACTCTCCAGAAGAGGTCAACTTCCTGTGGCACACAGTTCTAAATAGCATTTCTCTCTGGAGCCCTTGCCGGAGAGGCACCCAAAGTCAACCAGGCAGGATCCTTGTAGTGGTTTCTGTATCCATGCTCATCAAGTGCCTCTGAGTCCTCTGGACTCGGGGAACTCTCCCGATCTGTGGTGTGCACATGTGCTCTTCCTGGATCCCACCTGCCCTCCACCCACCCTCCGGGCTTACCTGTCACAGAGAGGCGGGCCCCGTTGCTCTGCCGGGTCTCCCCGCTATACTTGTGCTTGGTGATGCAGCGGTAGGTGGAGAGGGCGTCCTCCTTCTGCACGTCTGAGATGTACAGCCCGCCGTGGTAAGTAATAAAAAACCTGTTATCTGGAGACACAATCAGGACATGGCCCATTACTCCTCTGGCTGGGCATACCATCCGAGGCAGCTCCTGCAGTGGGGCATCCTCCCAGGACACGGTGGGGAGGGGTGGCCAGCAAGGGGCTCGAGGCAGTGGGGGCTGGAAGGCTGGGGAGTGTGTCCAAAAGATGAGAGCATTTGCACACAGAAAGCAATGACAAGTAGAGATAACAGCACTTATTCCTCTAACTGTTGATGCTGCAGGTTGGAGGCTGTTGGGCTTTGTAGTCCATCTGAGACCTGGGTTCCAATTCCGTTCTTCCCCTATTATCTGTAGGACATTGGGAAAAGTGACTTCCCCTGTCTAAGCTTTATCTGTAAGGCAGGATGCACAGAATACCTCATACCAGCGTGTGGACTGGTTTTTAAAGAAAACTGTGTCTGTCATGTTTGGCACACAGTAAGTGTTCACTCAGCAAATACCATACATGTGTACCTACGCATGCGTACACACTCACTGCCCTCGGGTTGTTCCAGACCCAGAGACACCTTACAGTACAGGGTAGAACAGACTCTGTGGCTTCCCTGCAGGTTTCTAACTCTTTCTCGGAGTAGAAAGCCTCGTTTTCCTCCCAAGGAGCAGCTGGGGGTTTTGAACTGCTGACCTTTTGGTTAGCAGCCCAGCGAGTAAACACTATGCCACCAGGGCTCCATATGTATACACACCCACTGCCAAGGATGCATGGCAGTCCTATAAGGGGTTTCTGAGACTGTACATCTTTACAAGGGCAGATAGACTCATCTTTCGCCAACGGAGTGGCTGGTGGGTTTGAACCACTGACCTTTTGGTCACCAGCCCATAGCACCACCAGGACTCCTCCACAAGGACTAGTGCTCATCATCTTCACGTCTCCTGCTTAATCCAGCTGGCCTCCTGCTTCTGCACATGACCAGCTTTTCTAGAATTCTCCCAATTGCTCCTTCTTTCTCTTCCTTCTCTGCCCCCCACTTCCTCCCTTCATCTTCCCTCCCTTTGACACCGCCCCCCCCATTCCTTCCTCATATAAGACCGACCCACCATGTGCCAGGCACTTGGTTGGTGATAGCAGGGGCTCAACTAACAGTTTCATCTGATCAGAGCAGAAGACGGCAGGACTGATGCATTCACTTTTGGCGAGCAGTAGGAAGGTACCCCATTATCCTACTGCCTCCTCTAACCTTGCAGCCAACTAACTAAAGGCCTTGCCGTGCTGCTGTGAGAGCTCCCACTCGGCCTGGTCTCTCTCCCCGTCTAGAACAGACAGCTGGTACAGACTCAAGCCTGGGCCTTCACACGGATCCCCAGCGAGCCCATGCCATCTGCAGCCTGCGAGCTCCTACTCTGTCCTTCTACAGCCCCTGGAAACACGGGGCTGGTGAATGGCATGTCCCCCTCACATGCCAACCCTGACCCCATGCTCCAATCCACTAGGATCCAAAGGTGACCAAGACGTGGGCGTGCAGCCCGCCACCCCGAGAGAGGCACAGAGGAAGCACGGAGTACCCCTGGAGCCGCTCCCCCACTGGGCTTTGCCGAGGCGAGGCAGTTGTCTTCATGCTGTGACATCGGAAGTCTGATGCAGATGCCCTCTGATCATCTATCTTGTAACTGGGACTGGGATGCAGAACTACTGGAGGGGACTGCCGCCAGAGTTCCGGGGTGGCGGTGGGCCGAGACACCCAAGGAGAAGCTGCAGAGAGACATGCCAACAACAATGGAACCGCACTGGGCCCGTGGCTCCCAGGTGCCCCACCCTGGGCAGTGATGTCCCTGTGGTCCCACTGCTCCCAGCACCCCAGGCCCCACGGAGTGCTTGGCTCTACAGAGATTTTAAGCAGGGGGGCTGCAGCGGTGATGGTGGGGAACCGGGGTTTCTATAGCAACAAGCAGCTGCTGCATCTGATGTTTCACATCCTTCATTGTCCTCATTTCCCCCCTTCCCTCCCCCCTTTGTGCATATTTAATTGCGGTAACATTTTCCGACACAGTGAACTGCTCCTCCTGAAACAAAGGCGGGCCGCAGCCAGGGGCTGCACAGCACGGAGAGGGGAAGAAGAAATCAGGGGTATTATGTTAATCCCCTCTGGGGAGGGGACGGGTGCACCATCCTTCTGCATGTTTGATGAGTGTCAGATGATGGACCCTGCTGGGGAAGGGAAGGACCAGAGGCCTGTGGAGTGAGCAAGGCACAGTGTGGGGAGGCGGGAGCCAGAGCCAGCTGGCGGGGTTGCCAGGGTGGCTGGGGCTGGATGGCATGGCTGGCCTCCAAGCTGGTTCGAGCGGGGTGTCCTGGTGGGCTGGCAGCCATCCTCTGCACCCCAGTGAGATGAACCATCCCTGGAACGGACATAGAGGAAGCTACTCCACATCCCTGATGCCTCCTTTTTGACCTGGATGCATCCAGCCTGAGGGAGGGGAGAGAGGAGCTTCCGGGGAAGCCAGTACCACCAGGTCCAACCAGGTCCCCAGAGCCACTGGGAAACATGCATGTGGGTCCACTGGGGATGACACACTCAGTGTGCGTGTGTCTGTATGTGTGTGTGTGTGTTTAGGTGTCTTTGTTTGAGTGAGTGTGTGTGTGCATGTAAATGCATATGCTGATGACATCTGGAATCCCTGCGGGGAGCAAACAGTGTTTGAACTCACCCCTCACCCAGGGGCGTCTCAGAAAACAGGCCTGGTCATCTGCGTCCCAAAGGCCACAGCTTTGAGAGCCCCACAGAGTAATTCTATTCTGCACACACAGGGGGTGGTGGGCGGGGGTGAGTCGGGATTGGCTTGATGGCAACTGGCAACGGCCTTTGGTGGTCACAGGACAGGAGTACCGGATAGATGCAATGCCATGCCCCAAATGGTCTTGACCCACACAAGGCTATCTGACCCCAAAAGACAACGGTGTTCCCCAGCTTCCACCAGAAGGACACTATCTTTTGGTTCCAAGCCCAGGACAGAGGGTCAGAGCACTGGGGTTAGCCGGCTGTGGTGTCACCTGCCACGCTGCTCACAGCCAGGGGTGTGCTGCTCATGGACCCTCCCCTTCCTGCCAGCATCAGAATCTCTGAAGTGATGGCCTGAACACTGATATGTGTATGCTGTAAGCCCTCTTTTGGTGGATCGGAGTGTGCAGCCGGAGCAGGGAAGGCCAAGATCCGGCGGACCCATCAGGACCCTTGTGCCTGGGAGTTGGCGTCTCTGTGAGCACAACAACGTGCCCAATTAATTCCATTCCTTTTCAGGGCAATGGAGATGTAGGCCGTACCTCATCACAAGGCTGCTGGAGGATTGGACAAAGCACTATAGTGCTTGTAAAAGTCCCCAGGACAAGTCCCGTGATGAGGGAAGATGGCAGGTTGGAACTCCGGCCCCCGCCCGCCCCCCCCATGGCCAGCCTGCTTCCACCCTGGGAGCAGGATGGGTGAGGGAGGGTACTCTGAGGCTCTGAGCACAGGTGCTAAGTGAGCTGACAAAATCTTTTCTGGCTTTTTCTAAAAGGTCGGAGTGCTGGGCCTTGGAGACTCCTGGAGCTGCATGAGTCATGGAGAGGTAATTGATAGACACCTCTCGCTCCTGGCAGCCCCAGAGGGGCCGGGGAGAACGTCTTGACAGAGGAGGACCCCTCAAACTGATCTCCGGAAGGGTGAGGGCAGGTTTGGCGAGGAAAGGTTGACAGGCAGAGGCAGTGGTGGGAAGGGGTCAAATGGGTAGATCCCTCTCCAGTCTCTAGAGGAGCGGGAGGGGAAGGGCGGGCAGGGAAAGAAGCAGGGCACAGCAGCCTCCTAACTGGCCCCCTGCCCGCCACCAGAGTTCTCCACATGCAGCCAGAGTGATGCTTTAGATCCTAAGATGCCTAGCACCCAAGTCAAGCCACATGATTCCTTTGCTCACAAGCTTCCCGTCTCTGTTTGAAAGTGGTGCCGGCTACTCAGGAAACATTTCTAGGGAGACCAAGTGACTAGACCTTCCCCAAACTGTGTGTATGAGATCATTCTATTTCCTTTTCACTCACTGGGAAACTGCAGCTCAGAAAAGTCTGATCCTTGCTGGAAACTCACTTCCTCTAGGAAGCCTTCCTGGATGAACCCACAGTCTTAATTATCGACTGTGCTGGAATAGAGGTACCTCAGTAGCGCCGCGGGTGGCTTCAACCATGGGAAGTCATTTCCTCACTGCGTAGGAGGCTCTCACCCTCTGTCATCAAGTGGAGGCCGGCTCACAGTGACCCTATAGGGCAGGGTGGGACTACTACCACTGTGGGTTTACAAGACTGTAGCTTTTTAATGGGAGTAGAAAGCCCCATCATTCTCCCTCAGAGGAGCTGGGGGTTTTGAACTGCTTACCCTGTGGCTAGCAGTTCAACTTGTAACCACTACGCTGCCAGAGCCCCTTGTAAAGGAGGCTAGAAGTTCAAATTCAGAGCGGTAGTCCCAGGGGAAGCCTTTGTGATTTGTTTTATGGGGTGGGGGGTGGGCCTCTGCAGGAAGGTCTTTGTTTCTTCAGTTGCTGCTTTCTGGATCCTTGGAGGCCGGTGTGTAACTTGGCGTCTAGCTTATCCCTCCGTGGCTCCCTCCCTCGCTTATTTAATCTCTTGTACATCTCAAGAGAGGATCCAAGATGGTGACCTAGGCAGCTCAACCAGCCAGATCCACTCCCGCAAAGATTCAGATCACCAAGGGCAACAGACACAGATGACAACAGTGGAAGCCAGAGCTTCAAAGGAAAGAAGAGAAAAGTGGATCAACTACTGATGAGAGGAAGAGACTGGACAGAAACAGTGAGCAAGGAGCAGTAAACCTCCATCCAGCAGAGCCTGGCCATTTTGAATGACTAAACCAGATAACCAGCTCTGCCTACCCCACTGGGGACTGGCAACAAGAAAGGCGTGCTCTCTCTTACCTGGTGAACCCTTCGGGGGGACTGGCCCGCCCCCCTCAACCTCCGCCAGGTGGCTGGCAAGCCACGCCTCCCACTGCTGGTGCTGTACCACTGC